TTTGAAACTCAATTAAGACATCAAAACATTGGTTCAAAAACAACAACTCATTGAAAAGGCGTTTGTTTTCGCTTTTCATGCCTTCAAACAAATCTCTTTTCACTAATATTTCGCTCATTTTTGGCAACAAATCTATATTTCGCTTCAAATCACAATCAATTCAATTGTATTTCAAAAGAAGTTTTAATTTTCGGATTTAATTCACGATTTCTTCTGTGAATTCAATGCAAAACAAAAGCAATTTTTCTTGCATTCAGTGGTTATCCCATAGAAAACGCACACAAAATAACTTCAAAAAAGTTGTAACAATAAGTTTGGCATTTAATTAGACTCGTCTACCGGTGTATACACTAGAAAATAAAATGTTATATAAAATCAATTAAATTAAAACAAAAATTAAATGAAACGACAATTTATTGTATTAATTGCACAATAGTTATCATATCTAATAAATACATTTTCTAATGTAATTCAATGCAACACTTATGGTCCATAAGTTATGGATCACATAATGAATAGTCTTCGGGCAAACGGTTTTGTTTTATCAGTCTTTTCGCGAATGAATTAACAAATGTTTTTTCAAATCACTTTTGCGGACAAACTGTTTGCCACATTGAGGCCATTGACAGGGAAACCAATCCACGTTTCCGGTGATCCGATTGTGTTTAAGCATATGTTGCTTGACATTACCCCTCTCTGAACTCCTATACCCACAGCCCTCGACCTCACATTTAAACTGTTTGTCCCCCGAATGGATTAACACGTGTTTATTGAGTGTATTCTTAAATATAAATCGTTTATCACATGCGGGCCAATGGCACACGAATTTAGGCTGAAGCCTGTGTTTCCATTTATGCTCATCTGCTTTACTCTTTGACACTGAAATTGACAGTCTGGCCAATCGCATACTCGCAATATACCCTGGTCAGTGTGTTCATCCCTGCGGTGCTGATTCAAGTGGCCGGCCGTATAAGCGGTATAGTGACAACCGGGCCATTCGCACGCATACACCACACCCTCGACGTGTCGGCGTTCGTGTGACTCCAATGACTCTTTCCTCGTGAACAGAGCCGAACAGCCTTTTAAAGAGCACCGGAAGGGTTTGGACCTCATATTCAGGTGTTTGTACTTCTGATGCGCATAGAGTTGAGTATTCGTTGCGAACCGTTTGCCGCAGTCGTTGTGGTCGCAAACAAAACTCTTAGTGAGGCTGTGGACAAAGCGGATGTGGCGGTCGAGTCCGTCTCGTCGGGGAAAGTGTTTGCCACAGCCCTCGATGTGACACTTGTATGATAACAAATCCATTAGTAATTCGCTGACAGACCTCCCATTAAATCCAATAACCCTCTGGTGTGTCAACCCGTGTGTTGTTTCAAATGCTTTTTATAACCACCGCTTGATTTGCACCGATAGTCACACTCCGGCCAATCGCATGTATACACCCGACTATTATGGACAGTATGTCTGTGAGAGTTATATGTATTCATGTTATCAAACTCTTTGTCGCATCCCTGGACCGGACACTTAACCATCGCATCCAACGGGTGAGACCTCCGGTGCCATAACAGGCGCCCAAATGTGGCGAAGGCTTCGCTGCAGTCCTTATGGACACAAACGTACGGCTTATTCGTCGAGTGTTTGATTGTCAAGTGATTCTTCAGACTCTTGTGTTCGACAAACCGCTTACCACCGCATTCCTCGTGAGGACACACATAGGACTTGCGGTTCTCGCTGTGGATCTTCATATGTGTCTTCAAAAGGAGCGGCGTTTGAAACCCTTTGCCACACTTCGGACACACGTGATTGGTCTGACCAGCGGTGGTGTGGGTCAGTGCGTGGGGTTTCAACAGGAACGCCCATTTGGTGCGGAACTCACAGCCGGGCCACTCGCAGGGGAACGGCTTCTCCGGGTTGTGTGTTCTCTGATGTCTGCGCAATATGTATACCTTCTTCGCCGAGTACTCACAGCCGGGCCACTCGCAGGGGAACAGCTTCTCAGTGGTGTGTGTTTTCTCGTGTTTGCGTAGTGTCCACACCTCCTTCGCAGAGTACTCACAGCCGGGGTATTCGCACCGTAGGGACGCCTCCTTGTGTACGGACTCGTGTGACGCCAACGCACTGCCCCTATTGAACACGCGGTCACAACCCGGTTCCGGGCATTTGTATACCTGTCCCTCTTTGTAGTGCTTCTCTTTCTGATGAATCCTTAATGAGTAACCAGTTTTGAAGGCTTTGTTGCAGTTCTCGTGATCGCAAACATAATTCCGGACCAAACTGTGCACTAAACGGATGTGCTTTTGGAGTGCATGTCTGATAGGGAATTGTTTGCCACAGCCCTCGATGTGACACTTGTATGGCTTAAGACCCTTATGTTTGTTCACATGTGCCTCCAATTCGTTCCTATTATTACACTTATAATCGCAACCTTTGACCTCACATTTCAATTGTTTACGACCCGTTTGTAGACTCCGGTGGCAATTGAGTTCAAAACCCGATCGAAAGAACTTCTGGCAATTGGTTCGCTTCGTATGCCTTTCACTCACGTGTTCCCTGAGATCCTCTTCAGTGGTAAACATCTGATCGCATGAATCGTATTCACACTCAAAGGGCACCATTGAGTGGTCGCTCACCATATGATCCTTAAGACTGGTCTTACTGTCGAATATGGACTGACAGTAAGGCATAAGACATTTGAAGCCGTGGACAGACATGTGTTTATTTAAGGCATTCTCTCTACAAAAGGTTTTACCACAAGATCTATGGGAACAGCGAAACACTGGTTCACTGTTTGAATCCGTGTCACTGTCTGTGTCTCTATTTGTAGTACTCTTTGAGTCCCTTTTGGTGACATTCGTCTTCTTGTGGAACAGTTTCACGTGTTCTGTGAATAACTCTTGATTAGTGTCTGATGTATTAAATGTTAGTCTTGTGTCCGCTTCAGAGGAATGTGCCTTCGAGTGGATATCCAACGACTCTTCACTGGAAAACCCTTTCCCGCAGTCTTTGTACTCACAGTTATAGACCACAAGAGATATGAATCCGTTTTTACCACTCAATTGATCCAATTGTGTATTACATGCCATAGACTTCAGTACAGCTAATGGGAGAATCAATTGAGAGGTTCTTTGCCTTTGTTTTTCAATGAATGGGTTTTTATCATCCATTTTCACCACTTGTTTAGTACTTTCCGTAGATTTCAATACAACTAATGAAGAGTCAAATGAATGATTAGTTTTAGGCAATGAAGAAGTTGTGACCATTTGTTGCGATATCTGTGGCAATGGTTTCCGACTCTGTATTTGTTTGGTATATATCTTCAATTGTCTGTCCAACTGATCCAACAAATCAAAAGTCTTTTTATTTTGAATTTGGTATAAATGGCAAAGACTTTGTAAACAAAGTAATTGAAAGTCGGATTTCGATGTTATTTCAAAACAATATTTATTATTTATTTTTTGTGATCAAAATCTTCTTAAAAGATATTTTTATTAAATTTAATAATTGGATACTAAAATCCATACAAAATATTGTTCTCTTAGTAATACTAATATTTGAATTTTGTATTCAATATATTGTTTTAATTTATTATCAAATATTTTATTGTTAACTGCGTATTATAAATATTGTATCACGTATTATGTAATATAAATTTAGCTGCGTATTAAAAAATTAAATACTTTTATTTATTTTATGCATATTTTTATAATTAATTACAAGCAACAAATGTCTCGTATTACTGGTTTAAAATATAGCAAGTACAGTTTATTTGACAACCCCATAGTCTATGAGCTATAGATACAGTGCACCGAATGGAATGAAACCATTAGAACTTCGCTTAGATTTACACTAAGTCTTACATCAATCAATCAAATTTGCGTGAATTGCCCCCACCTTATGATGAGCTGTGCACTTATGTGCCCCCGTACAAATGTCCCGTGATATGCCAACCACAGTCCAGTCATGTCATTGACATCCCGTCCCGTTTTAGCGCCGATCCCACTATTGATGAAACAGATGTTTTAGTCCAGAATCGAGTGCTTGAAGATATGGACTGTTGTGTAATCTGTGGTTCACTCATATGTATAAACATTTGTCTAAATTGTTATATTCAGTGCATTATTCTATTGTGTACTCACTTTCAGCTGTAAAACGAGAATATTTAGTAGAATTCTTGTGAATAAAAAATTTTTGTTTATTGTATTTACGGTATATTATGTTTGAGTGAATACAATCTTTAACTTTTTATACACTGTGAGATTTGTTTTATTAGTAATGTATACTAGTAAGATAAAGGCTCAAAATAATAAACCTGATGAAATGCATGCAATGCTTAATGATTTTTTTATTTGTATTAAGTTTACAAGTACATGTTTTTAATCTAGACTTGCTTTGAATTGATAATTTGCTTTTATATTTACAGAGTTATAAATATATAATATACTGTATACATGTAATAATAATTTATATGGTCACGCCCTTCATTGTGGGCGATTTGCTTGAAGATTATTCATCAATATTCTTGATTATGGAATACATATATTTAGCAGGGTCCTTCATTTTATTTATTATCATTAATTTGGTAATCACAAGATATAATCATGTACAAACTAATTCTACAAATATAAAAGAACTGAATGTTTTAAATGATAATTAAAATTTGATATTATTATTGTTATTAAAAAGTGATTTATTGTTCAATTTTTTTGCATACTTTTTGTATAAATAAATGGACAAATTCAAATTTTTAAACCTTTATATTATTTATCAGAATTATAATATTATAAATAATAATAAACTTTTCTCAAAATAACATGAATAAAAACTTATTATAAATAAGTTTTTTGATTTAATTCTTGGTAACCATAGTTATGCTTATAAGTTTATAACAAGTAAATAGTTGTTGAATGCATTTCCATTCAAATTAGGTAAAAATATTAATGATTTTATATCATACTATACCGGTAATATATTAATACCATTATTTAAATAAAATTATTTGCATTTCTATTTACAAAAAGTGCTATTTATTCATTAGTTGTATTATAATAAAGTATCGATCTACTTTAGTCGAGAACTTTTTTGTATAATTGTATAAACATACAAACATACACACATCATTTAATATAATGAATTAGAATTTATTGTGAGTGAATGTCTGACCAACAAAATAATGGATTCCAGTGCCGAAAGTGGACACTATTCTCGATGTGTTGTATCTCTATATTGACGGCAACTATATTAATAACATTTTGCTTTGATTTACTCGACTCAACCGACAAACAGGGTTTAACTGACGAACAACTTTATCAATTGAATCGTTCACTTGTAAACTTATTATCATTCATTTACATCTTTAAGTCTCTCTCTCTCTCTCTCACTCACTCTCACTCACTCACTCCCACACATACTGTACTGTATAAGTTAAGTAATATTAATTTATTTAAAATTAGATAACATTTATGAAGTGTATTACAGTATTTTGATTTATTTTTAATGATCATTTGAGTTATTGAATGATTAAGCAAGTAAGTGAGAGTGAGTGAGTGAGTGAATGTGTGTGTGTGTGAGTGAGAGCGAGAGAGAGAGAGAGAGATCCTCTAACAATAATTAAAATTAAGTTGACGACCAAGGTGATAGTACTCGTAAGTGGTATATTGACAATCATTATGAAAATCATGGGATTATTTGGTGCTTATAATGAAAGTTATTGTCTGTCCCTAACATTCGCTATATTAATGACAATCCAAACGATTGTCAGTATATTACCATCGCTTCACTTCTACTACTTTAGTATGATATCAGTATTGAATGCTTTCATCACCTAACATTCGCTATATTAATGACAATCCAAACGATTGCCAGTATATTACCATCGCTTCACTTCTACTACTTTAGTATGATATCAGTATTGAATGCTTTCATCACAGGTTTGGCCTATTTTTATGCCTACGATTGCCATCGACTTCGTTGTAGACAACAGACAACCGTTTGTATCAGTAGTGCATTGAATGCGAGCAATGAGTTATGGCTCGCGTATGGGCCCACAGTATTCACAACACGTATCCCCCTTAATGGACCCCTTAATGGACCCCCTATTGGATGCCTGGATGACAGTCATTTTATAACAGAATTATAGCACCAAAGTGGTTTAAATATAATATAATACTGTACCACGAATATTACAGAATATTTGAAAAATCATCGAACCATTTAGTACAAATAAACATTTTATACAAATAAACGTGTCTATTATCTAAATATATATTTAATTTTCGTATAAATGTTATAAATTAAATTATTGATTAGTCTGCAATAAAAAAGTGATTTCATTCAAGTATTCTTTATTTATAGTAATTTGAGTTTTTAAAGACTTGACTACAAAAGTAACTTAAAGTTCTCTAAACTTTTTAAAAGTTTTCATATTTTGGACATCATTTGTGAGAAATGTTTGCAAAAGTCGTGCATTTGTTGACAAACAGTGAAACTGAATGTGAAGTGAATTTACAGTTTAATTGAGTTTTGATTGCAATTAAATACAGTTTTGTTTTATGAAAACAATGTCTGAAATACTGATCAATGATTTGGTGGAAGAGTTGAGTGAAGAAAATAAGAGACT